TTCTCAGAGGGAGACAGAGACAGAGGAAGGGAGAAGCCCACTGGCATCAACTGACTGAATGAACAACTGAACCTCACTGGTTTCTGTGACATAAGCTTTAACGAGAGACAACACCGTCGCTGAATTCTCTGCCCCCCGCTCAGAAACTTTGAGCATAACAAGTGTTGACTAGTTTTAGTAAAAGAGTTGAATAATAAAATTTGTATTTGGCAAAATAAAAATTATGTGTCTACTCAGGGTAAAATGATTAGAATTGGGTAACTCCTCCACCACCTTAGAGAAAACACACTTTTGCTCTCAGCATCTGAGGGCTGCTGACACTTCTGATACCTGAGGACATGGGTCAGGAGGGGAGGAGGTCACCACTGAGGACTAGGGTCCTTCACACAAACACTCCGGGGGCAAGGGTGAGGGTCCTGGAAGATGAATTATTTTCCCAACAATAAACAAATCCCTCCACAGAAAGGAGATTTTAAAGTCCTCGGGATGTGGTGAGCTTGCCCTCAGGCAGGGAGTCCAGGTTAGGAAGGGGACTCTGTCACTCTAGAGGAGAGGGTGTAACTAGATGTGATCTCTCCCTTGTGACTGAGGTGCTGCTGGGGAAATACAATTGTCTTGGTATTAGGATCTCCACATCCATATTCTCCTGAAAGGAACCAGGATTCCTGGTGGGGGTACTGGCCCAGCCTGTGCAGGACTATAGGTCTCCAGTAAGAAAATGGTGGAAAGAAAGGACAATATCTATAATAGTCCTCACCTCGTGGTCCCCTGAAGCATGACCACATGGACGTGAAGGAACATGTTCTAGAAGGAAAGGAAACATGGGAGAAGCTCATGGACTCATAATAATCAGCCTCTTCTCTAAATCAAACACTAAACAAAACCCATCTTTTGTTTCAAACAGCTTATGCCAGAGTGATCTGGTAAATCCCTAAGCAAATACAGAAAGCATACGGCTGAGAGAGCCTGCCTTCCTAGGTAAAGTAAGAGGTAAAAATGGAACCTAAGATCAGGGCTAAAAATTTGTTCCTGGAACAGAGAAGACCAACATTTATGCATGAAAGAGATATAGAATGTGCGTATTTACAAACCTACATCACTTCTGACTTTAAGACGAAAACTTTTCTCATTTGATTAATAAATATCCATTTGGATGGGCACATCTGAAATTACTGGGAAAATTAAACTTCTTGCAAAATTAATAGTTTAGAATGATGACATCTTCATAGACCATACTGAGAAGATATAAGTGAAAATCAAAAAAAGGAAGTAAAAGGGTATAGTAATGTTTAGAAAATGAAAATTACTGTGTTCCCTATTTAATGGCCTTGCTTAGAAAGAATGTCATCACAGAACCTACCGCCAAGGTTCCCCCGGACGCCCGTCTCAGCCAGGCCAGCAGCAGCCTCATTTGCCCCATGGCGTTCGTGCTCTCTCTACTGACCGCCCTGGTGGTGTTCAGCTACGGCCCTGGTGGATCTCTGGGCTGCGACCTGTCTCAGAACCACGTGCGGATTAGCAGGAAGAACTTCATGCTTCTGGGCCAGATGCGGAGAATCTCCCCTCGCTTCTGTCTGAAGGACAGAAAAGACTTCGGTTTCCCCCAGGACATGGTGGATGGCAGCCAGCTCCCGAAGGCCCAGGCCACCTCTGTCCTCCACGAGATGCTCCAGCAGGTCTTCCGCCTCTTCCACACAGAGCGCTCCCCTGCCGCCTGGGACACCTCCCTCCTGGACAAACTCCGCACTGGACTCCATCAGCAGCTGGAGGACCTGGACGCCTGCTTGGTGCAGGCGATGGGAGATGAAGAAACTGCCCTGGGAGTGACGGGCCCTACACTGGCCGTGAAGAGGTACTTCCAGGGCAGTTTCTTCATCTCCCATCGCCTGCACCAAGCAGGCGTCCAGGTCCTCCAGCTGCTGATGGAGTCCAGTGCGGAGTTTGTCCAGGAGGGAGGTGTCCCAGGCGGCAGGGGAGCGCTCTGTGTGGAAGAGGCGGAAGACCTGCTGGAGCATCTCGTGGAGGACAGAGGTGGCCTGGGCCTTCGGGAGCTGGCTGCCATCCACCATGTCCTGGGGGAAACCGAAGTCTTTTCTGTCCTTCAGACAGAAGCGAGGGGAGATTCTCCGCATCTGGCCCAGAAGCATGAAGTTCTTCCTGCTAATCCGCACGTGGTTCTGAGACAGGTCGCAGCCCAGAGATCCACCAGGGCCGTAGCTGAACACCACCAGGGCGGTCAGTAGAGAGAGCACGAAGGCCATGGGGCAAATGAGGCTGCTGCTGGCCTGGCTGAGACGGGCGTCCGGGGGAACCTTGGCGGTAGGTTCTGTGATGACATTCTTTCTAAGCAAGGCCATTAAATAGGGAACACAGTAATTTTCATTTTCTAAACATTACTATACCCTTTTACTTCCTTTTTTTGATTTTCACTTATATCTTCTCAGTATGGTCTATGAAGATGTCATCATTCTAAACTATTAATTTTGCAAGAAGTTTAATTTTCCCAGTAATTTCAGATGTGCCCATCCAAATGGATATTTATTAATCAAATGAGAAAAGTTTTCGTCTTAAAGTCAGAAGTGATGTAGGTTTGTAAATACGCACATTCTATATCTCTTTCATGCATAAATGTTGGTCTTCTCTGTTCCAGGAACAAATTTTTAGCCCTGATCTTAGGTTCCATTTTTACCTCTTACTTTACCTAGGAAGGCAGGCTCTCTCAGCCGTATGCTTTCTGTATTTGCTTAGGGATTTACCAGATCACTCTGGCATAAGCTGTTTGAAACAAAAGATGGGTTTTGTTTAGTGTTTGATTTAGAGAAGAGGCTGATTATTATGAGTCCATGAGCTTCTCCCATGTTTCCTTTCCTTCTAGAACATGTTCCTTCACGTCCATGTGGTCATGCTTCAGGGGACCACGAGGTGAGGACTATTATAGATATTGTCCTTTCTTTCCACCATTTTCTTACTGGAGACCTATAGTCCTGCACAGGCTGGGCCAGTACCCCCACCAGGAATCCTGGTTCCTTTCAGGAGAATATGGATGTGGAGATCCTAATACCAAGACAATTGTATTTCCCCAGCAGCACCTCAGTCACAAGGGAGAGATCACATCTAGTTACACCCTCTCCTCTAGAGTGACAGAGTCCCCTTCCTAACCTGGACTCCCACCCTGAGGGCAGGCTCACCACATCCCGAGGACTTTACAATCTCCTATCTGTGGAGGGGCTTGTTTATTTGTTGGGAAAATAATTCATCTTCCAGGACCCTCACCCTTGCCCCCGGAGTGTTTGTGTGAAGGACCCTAGTCCTCAGTGGTGACCTCCTCCCCTCCTGACCCATGTCCTCAGGTATCAGAAGTGTCAGCAGCCCTCAGATGCTGAGAGCAAAAGTGTGTTTTCTCTAAGGTGGTGGAGGAGTTACCCAATTCTAATCATTTTACCCTGAGTAGACACATAATTTTTATTTTGCCAAATACAAATTTTATTATTCAACTCTTTTACTAAAACTAGTCAACACTTGTTATGCTCAAAGTTTCTGAGCGGGGGGCAGAGAATTCAGCGACGGTGTTGTCTCTCGTTAAAGCTTATGTCACAGAAACCAGTGAGGTTCAGTTGTTCATTCAGTCAGTTGATGCCAGTGGGCTTCTCCCTTCCTCTGTCTCTGTCTCCCTCTGAGAA